TCCAACCGCGCTTTCAGCGCCTCGGCATACAACTGTATTTTTTCCATCGTGGTACGTCGACCATAATTGCCCGACGCCCCGGAATCGACGAGGATCTTCCATAGCTTCTTGAAGCCCTGTATGGTCGTCTCCACGACCAGCAAGCCCGGCTTGAATACACGTTCCGTGTTCAAGAGCACGGAGCTCTTTGGAGATGGGCTTTGTTGACCACTACCTCCTTGAGGCTCAACATAACCAAGTTCTTCCCCAGTCGGTCGCCCCGCGCCTACTGGAAGGTGTCGTTTCCTCGCGACGAACCAGACTGGTGGGCATTAGGGAGATGGCTTGAAGAACCTTGACGTGCCTTGCGCAGGGGGCAACCGTTCCGAAGGTGACGTGTGGCTCCACAGACAAAACACCGTCGTGTGTTTGTGTGCTGCCTGGCAGCTCAGAGCTCTGCTCCCTCGTCCTCAGCATTCCTGAGATCCATGGGCACATACCCGCTCGACGAGCTGTTGGAGTGTGCATTTCAACCAAGTCGTGTCGACTTGAAATTGAATTCGACATTCAATACCACATTCACCGCCTCTTCAAATGAAGATGAATGCACACAAAAAAAAATCATTCTGGCCACGCCAATGCGGAGGACTTCCATAAAGACGGTCACAATGACCGCCTCAGGAAGGAGAATTGCTGCCGTCCCGGCATGAGAGTACGCATCTCTTGGACAAAGTCCACCATTCCTTGCTCCCCTGGGGGCGGCAAGGAAACACGCTCGCACGCGATATGCCTGGTTAGGCGGTGAGGCCACTCGTGGGCGCTGCAGTTTCAGCTTTGCCCAGGACAGAAATGCAGCTTTGACCGAAGTGCCGCACGTTAGTGCCTATTCTCGCGCTCGACCATCAAGCTTTGAGACGGCTAGCGCCACGCGCTGTTGCTTGGTTTGGAGCATAGCGGATGCGATGACCATCTCGACCTCTCTCACCCAGAGCAGGAAATTCTCTCCATCCTTCCCCTCAAAGACCTTAACGCTCACCATGAGCGGCTTAGGGCGGGTAAAACCATCCGTCACTGACGGTGGCATTATAGACGCAAATGGAGCAGACATCTTCTGCTGCATGTGCTCTAGCAGCGCGTTTTCGTGATTTAAAAACGCCCCTAGATGCCTCGGGGCCTTGCGCATCAATGTGTTGCATGCCCTCAGAGCCCGACAAGGACATCAGCCTTTTAAGTCTGTCCTGCATGCCCTGGGGCAAAGAGAAAATTTGTTTTATCCTCACAAAGGATCAGTCAAAACGACTCAGGTGTAGATTAACTACAAGTGCTACCAAGTGCAGCGGGGCTGTCGTAGCTTTGCACACTGAGTAAGCGTGATTTTGATCACCGACCTCTCGTTCTATTCTCAGAACAAGTACGAGTTTAGCGAAGCGTACTGACTACGCAACAGATACCGCGAGTCCTCTAACCAACTAATGAAATCTACATACCGTGGCCAAACTTTTGCCGTTGAGGGGAAATTGTGGCTTAATATTGGGCCGTTTTATTGCTGAGTTGTAACGGGTATGTATTCTATTGAGACATACAACTATTCCGCCCGGATTAAGAGCTAAACATAGTTCCAAAATAATGTAACATGCTGAAGTGTCGTGATTGTTTTTGGTACGGATGACAATAATGAGACACAGTGGAGAAGAATCACATGCAACTGATGGGCTGTGAGCACCAAGGTATGCAGTATACTATATTTACTCTTATATTAAGTAGAAATATGTCTCCATTTCTGTTCCTCGATCGCTATTTGGTAGCTGAAGCTGTATAGTTAAATGTCACTTGGTGCGAGGTGAGCGGTAGCCTGCTGCCCTTATCGTCAATTTCGACGATAGAATCTTGATAGACTTTATATTTGATAAGGATGAGCCACACTTGTCTCTGCCCCGAGACAACGAGATACGCATAACAGGCTTCTGTCCTTGGCTGGTTCCTAGGCATAAGGCAATCAGGGTTTTGAGCATCAGAAGCAGAATATGCTTGCCTGGGGTCGATTAGCAGTCTGCCCGGCTCATTCAGTGTGAGCGCTTAATATACCTCGATGGATTGGATAGGGATTTCGCTCTTTAAGTAACTGAGGCCGAGATAAAGACGGCTATTAGCTCGGTCAGGCTACAGTAGAAGTATCAGTGCGTTACGCTTATGGTCTGTACGCTAGAAAGCCATGCGCCAGAATGACACTAAGGTGCAGCGCCTCCGTAAAGAGATATTTGCTAGATGTTGATATGAAAGATGCCGCGGATATACTTACCGGCCGGAACTCCGATTGCCAAGATTCTGGCGTATCACAATGCACATAAGAGCAACCATAGAAGTCATATAGTCAATTTATCCAATATAATAGTCCTTTGATACATTTTGCCGTGAAAATCAAGCATACGGTACAATCTGCACGATGGTCCATGTAAACCTTAGACGTTTGATTGATTTATAATAACAACATTTTACATTTGCACTAGGTTCTGATTTCCCTTTGTAACATTATGGATGAGCAATGTAATATCTATAGATTCATGGTGTTAGCCAACAAAATCAGTTTATTTCTCGGTAGTACTTACAGTCAATCCGACGATTCTTATATATACTAGCCGAGAGAGAAGGTGGTACGCAAGGCGCAAGCGTCCCTTAAAGTATTTGCGACTGCCACGAGATGCTCGACGGCCACGATTTCTCACATTCCTTCTCGTCAATCTGGCTGCAATCCATCACCTCTGGTGCGCTGACTAATCTTCTACTTCCGACACTTCATCCAGCACTAACGACACGAAAGCTGTCTTCGCGTTTAGCACAAAACCTCTTGCTTTCTCTAAAAAGGTAATGTTGGCCAGTCTTTCGATGCGATAACAGCCCACATGTATCCTGGACCTCTCCTTTACGGAGTGTTATAAAACAAATATATCGTTGCTTCTGAATTTTATACAATCCCACAAAGAGGATTCTAAATTTAGTACTATTGTACAATATTGTGAGTGCATGGACGATAGCAACGCGACACCAACGACTTAAGTCATTTTGGTCCATTGTTTCTTCCTTCGTTTTAATTAAAGCAGCTCAGATAATTAGCTGCGTCAATTTTGAGGCATGTGCTGTTATTGCACAGATTGCTACGTTTCCAATAGATTAATAGTGTGATGGTGTTGATTCTGATGCCTTCAATATATGAATGCTCACTTAACAAGATGATGTTAATCACGACGATCATGTCCTTTTGTCGCGTTGTGGCGTCTTAAGTAAGTGTTAGACAAAGCTTAGCAAATTACGACGCGAAAACTATCTGGGATCACCTTTCGGGCAGCTCGAAGGCTAAAAATCTGTCGTTTAAACGAAAGAAACACGATACCTATGCCTTAGGTGGAGTGAATGGGTTTCTTTGGTCGTCAGCATTGTGCTGAGACTTAAAGAAAGAGTGGAAAACTGTTCGCTATGATTTATGGATGTGGACACGATAACGTAGTGTATGATTACGAACAAAGAGACAATGGTAAAGCAGCTATTTGGTCCGTTCCAAGTGAATTTCGCTGTCTTGCAAATGCAGATGGAGGTCTTTGCCTTGGAGATATTCGTTCTGCAGTAGTGTAATGACTTGTAGCAAGTGCGTGAGAGCACGTTTGAATCTCAACCAGATGTATCAATTCGTTACATCTTGTCTTGAAGTGAACCTGGATACAAACATGGACATTGTCGATCGATTCTTTAAACCTGAAGCTACACTCTTAATCGCATTTGCAATAAGTTGGTATGATCTGAGTTTATTGAGCTGATGTGAAGGTTTCGTAGAAGCAGACTGCGAGCAGTATGAGACGCATGTTGATTACTAGATAACGGTAATTCCACACAATTAAGAACACTCAAATTTATTGTCAAACTGTCTCCATGCGTGTCAACGTACACTTTTCCTTTAAGTACTCCCGATACGTGACCCCCTACAGACTCGTAAATGAATTGCCCTGAGTTACGAGGCTTCAACGATTTCACTGTCGCTAACGCCAGCTTGGCCCCGCTTCGTCTTTTGTTCTTGATGCATGATCTTTGCAGCGTTGATGGCGGCTTCATTTTGAGACTGTAGCACTGTTTCGATGTCAGGAATGATGTGCATTGACTTCATTAATGCATATGCGTCTTTCTTTACCGTGCTTAAATAAGTCAACCAGACGGTGACTTCGTGATCGCTCATACCCAAATGCTGAAGTACTTTTTCATTTGTGTATCCCATCAATATCCACTTTGACACCAACTTACTTTCCAACTGTCGCCCGACATGCTGTGCATTCCCTGTCGTCCGTGGCTTTCGCAGCAGTTCAACAATTTGTTGATCGTTGCGTTCATGGCTCAATATTAACCACAACTTGTCTAGCGCATTCTCTTTGACTTCAACCGCATAATCCATCCACCTGCCAAATTTCTTGCTATCCAGCAGTTCAGCCTTTTGACTCCCTAGTTCTAGAAAGTCGTAGAGATCTTCCAAAGTGAATTTTTTTTCTACTTTCCAATAGTTCAGCTCAGACATTCCAAGCATATTAAGCGTTCTGGCCGAAGTGCTACCGAGCCATTCGGTAAGCTCTTTTTGATTTTTGACGTTCTTGAGTAATATCAAGTACATCGCGTCGTAGGCCTTCTTTTCGTCATATTTGTAGCGCTTGACGGTGTTCGAAGTCCAGAGGATAAAGTTTGGATGCGTAAAGAGTTCATTCAAGGGAATGTCTCCAAGTTTGTTTTTCGTAAAGCTCTTAAGTGTTTGCTCGTACTTTTGATTGCGCAGAACCTTTTTCAAGTCCATCTTGATCGTCTGTAATTTTTTCACAAAGCCATTTGAAGCTTTACCAAGTCTCTCAGACAAAGCGATATTAATTCTTTCGTCGTCGTCATCAGTTGATGCCGTGGTTGTGTTCTTGTCGAACTCTGCAGTACGTCGCGAGTGTAAAACGGTGCCAGTTGAGTTCGGGATGAGGAATGCAGATGCCATACCACTGCCATATCGAAGATAATCAGAAGACAAGAGGGTGCCACCGCAGACAAGTCCTTTTAATAAAACTTTGCTTTTCATGTTCGCGATAGGACGTAAGTTCTTATTGTGAGTGGTCTTTTGGCTGTATAATGTTGTGTGTTCTTTTTGTGTGCGAGTAAAGGAGAGGGATCATCTACTGTATAATAAGCGACTTTCTGTATATACGTAATTTGCTGCTATATTAATCTATGGATTTATATCTTCGTCATGTGTCTTCCAGAATCATATGAAATACTGGTAAATTTTTATATTTGTTGTAAGATGGGAATGACAAATAAAGTACGTGGAGATAGCGCAATAACAACTCGACAGAGCATTAGAACGGCAGTTCGTACAAGGATAGGAAGGAGGTTAAACTTATGGTGTTTTTCTTGAGTGCTAAGCCCAAGTCGTGTACCATACACGTAATGGGACAACTTGTGTTTACTTCTTGACTTTGGTAACATCGTATATTATGACACCGGATAATCTGTAGTCGTAAGACTTCAAAACATTGAGAATGAGAGTTCTAAGGTACATGTGAGCTGCTAGTCGCGCAACAGAAATGAAGACAGTTGTGAATGTGAGATACAATAAACGTGTACATGAAGGATTAGTCTAGATTAAATCAATCCATAATAAGTGTGCTTTTAAAATAGTGGTGCGAGCTAACAGTGCCAGCGCGATACTGGGAACCGAGTATATTCTCGGTTCCGCGCCTGGTAGGAGCGCGCGAACCCAACTACTATGCGTTTGTTATCTCGGACTAAAAGCTTATTCCGTACAATGTCCACGGTACCCTCGTTGCACTCTCATTGCCATAATGCGTTTGACACTCTTCAATTTTCATGGAGGGTTTTCGAACAGTTGCGGCTCGCATCGAGATCGAACGCGTTCACAATTCCTTCTTTGAGAAAACAGTGGGTATCACATTCAAAGTGAAGCACAACACCAAACATCAAGGGCGGGGAAATGAAGACACGACAGAAGAGCGATACCTTAGTTGCTGAGCGGCTCTACGATACCCTTTGGTACGGGCTTGTTGCTTGTCTTCTTTGCTTCTCGATGAGCGGAACGATGGGTAGGGCTCCCGCTAAAAGGCAAACGACAAACCTTATTCGGGATAATGTCAAGTCTCTATGGTTGCAAAGCGTCGTAATCAGAAAGAATTGGATTGTTTTGTAGCTCGTGAAGGTCGTGGTCGATGAAACTCAGCCATAAAAGATGTGACTCTCTCCGACAATGGTCGGATTTACAATCGCAAACTCTAAGTAGACGACGGGAACAGGAACACGGGCGAAGTCAACGTCTAACTATGTTTCAAGCAATTTGAGAAAAATTTCTTACAGAGCGAGGATCTTTTTTTACCGAAAAAGAAATGATTCGAACAGATCATGTTGGTAAAAATGTTTTTGATGAACGTTTCTGCTGCACCCTCGCTGGTCACATGACCGCCGAAAGTACCGGTAGTACCAGGTGCATTTTTCAAAAGAAAAATATGCTTAAACTAAAAATTCGCCAACGCTCTGCCTGTCATAATTGACTGGCTATAGACGCCGACACCCGCGACGTGGATTGAGGTCATTGTAACATTTACCCATGCGTACATATGTGCTTACCCACTTGTACACGTTGAGCCTCCAATACATAGCGCCCACAGAGCAATATGTCTGTTTGCTTCCAAGGAGTCCGACCAAAGGGCATCAATTGCCTCATATAGTATTATGTGATTGCGGTGCTTATCGTGACACACCACTTTGCGATGGGTGATATGCGGTTTAGTGCTCTAATACACTAAGACATGGTGGATATATTCAGCTTTCGGGTGAGGGGAAGCTTTATATTACTTTGTTCAAATTCTGGTTATAGTTCTGACGAGCTCATGATCACATGTTCACTTAGCCAATCCAGCTATGCCCGACTTATTTTCACATATCGGCACATCATTTAACGCCAATATTCTCGTCTTGCAGCCGGTTCTTACACGAGCCGGCTTCCTTACACGATGACGGAGCTGTACGACCTCAGCAGATGATTTGATGCCAATCCGATACAAAGCTAAAGTGCTGCTGTTAAGCAGAAGATGACTCAACCGTGTAGCCGTCGAGACGCTGAAATTTCTCCAATAGAGCCTTTCACGCCCAAATGTGTTGTTAGAGAGGGGTCAGAACGACTGAAAGGGTTCAATCGAAATGGACAGACACAATAACAATACCCGTACAGACAGCCAAGCTGAATGCAGTAGATTATATGGCTAAATATATCCTCTGAAGCACGTGCGGAGAGACTGCGATTCGAAGCCAGTTGCTGTCACCCACTGAATTAACATCAAATAGTGCTACTTAAGCAATTATTGGTTTGGTCAATTGCTATAATTGTTCTTACAATTACCTGAATTATTTTGTTAGAACCGCATAGTTACTCTGGTCTTTGTAGGGTGGTGGCTGCCGTATAAATTCGACTTGATGATATCTGCCCAGTCACACTTCCTAGCAAAATCACACACCTCGTTGAAAGAAAAAGAAATACACTTCATATGATATTTGCGAGACGCTGCGCTCGGGAGCTCGGATGTGCAGAAGCAGCATGTTGATGTTTAAGGCAGGCGAAATACAGACACGTAGCTAAATGTAGCTAAACGCAATTAAGTTATGTTATTTCATGATGCAAAAAATTTGGTTTCTATGTCAGCTTGCGAAAACCATATCACCTACCCGTTACGAAAGCCAGCTGGATGCGAAGTGCTCTATTGTAGACTGATCAACATTTGCCGTAGTTGATCTATTCACTGCTTTAGCGCTGTAAGCAGTTCAGAAGTTTTGATGATACCCAGAGCGAAAATGAAGCCCAATAAGCACATCTGAAATTGATTTTTAAACTTATACCCAATCTTTACTTGACACTCCGAATTCAGACCTAACACCTCCAATCTCTCTCGGCGTCTCACGACCTTACTGTTCCCCAGTAGTCTGGCGCTTTTTGCGCTCACTATCCTTGCTACACGAGTCTTGATGTCGGTGTACTTTTTCACCGGGAGAAAATATTGCAACACGACGATGTCCAGCCTATCATTTACAAGGTGAACCCGACTAAAGGAGTTCAGGTTGCTTTGCAGTTAGCGCAAGATGTTCGCTGATTTTTGACGCACGTGAGCCTGACTTTCAGCCCCCGCTTGAAACCAGCACGAAAGAGTCGCTATGTCAGCCGTTTCTTACCCCACAGTTCATCAGTACCGTGCTTGGAGTAGCAGTAGATGAAGAGACCCATAACATTCATGAGAGGTGTACCTTAGGTACCTAGAGCTAGCAGAAGTGCCGCTGAGTATATGAATTGTCTTACGCATTCGATGACAAAGTCGGGCGTCCTCACCGCCTCAATGCTTCACAAGCCAGCTTCAGCGCGTGGAGGTAACAACCCATCACTTCAAGCTCTTGCTGTATATAGCCCCGCTTGTCTCTGTGAGACATATGTAACAGCTGCCCACCAATAACCTATTTATTCGCAAGAACGGTCGCCTTCTACAAGTGAAAAAAAGTGTATTGCGACAGCCTATCATGCCTCTTCTCCATGGAACATAGAGGTTGATGGTGCATCAGTTCGTAAGCGAATACAGTATCAAGGTAATATTGCCTGAGTAGAACACCAAGAACTCGCGAGTTGCTAGACTACTATTGACACATCTACATTACCAAAAAGTGATAACAGCAGTGAAGTTCATTCTATATCATTACATGTTTAGCGTAACAGTGGGTCGCCCGTTCCCATCGAGCAATGCAGGCGAAGGTTGACTCTCCGGCGGCTGACTCTCGTAATCTCGGTTAGTTGTGGACTTCGTCAAAGAATCACGGTGTTCGTGCGAGGCTGATATAAGCTCCTTTGACGCACCGACAGCAGTTAGAACAGCGTCACTGCTTTGGAGCGGAGAGTACCAAGATCACGGGATCCGTCTAATATTTAACTGACTTAGGATATCATTATTGTGTAATGGCTTCAAAACTTCCACAAAGAAAGTGGGCGTGTTTGCATTCCCTTCTGGACGTGAATATACACCTCAGTATGTTTCTTACTAAGACGTCAGTGGTTTGAATCATGAAGTCAGCAGATATTGCATGAGTTGGTAGTCTAATTGCTCCAATTTTAATTCCTTGCCGAATGTCTATAGCCGGCATTTGATTTGTTGTGCTGCTTTTATTGTCTTGGATCTTAGTCAGAGGATTGCGCACGCAGCTTATAGCCCATAATTTCGTAAATCTCGGTTTTGCTACGAAGTGTTGCTAATATCCGCGAGTCGATTTTGACTGCCAGCCTTTTTCACTCTGAAACCAGAGCCACTTCGTCGCGGCGTCGGGCGCAACAATCCATATGTGAAAAGTAGTATAGGGCTTTAGGAGACATATACATGCCAATTTTGAGCCACCGAGTGAGAATACCTTTCTCCGGCACAACGCTTGCACATACCCCCAAGGGCTCATCATTACTATCGTATTCAGGGCCGAGGGGTAGTCGTGTAAAAGAGAATATATAATAAATTTCAACTGGGCCTCTTCAAAACTATTTTCGATGGCACGCTTCATAACTTCTTATAATGTCTTGATCCATGCCGCTCACCACTAAAAAATTAAGCACTCACTTTGCAATTCTGGTTTATAATTCACTTTTCACTCCGTCTAGCGGTATGTGCCGTGTCACGGTCGATGAAACTCAAAAGAAGATTGAAAAGACACTTTTAAAGGAGCACACATCTTACGATAGTGTACCAAATCGAAGAACTACAACGCACTGATACTGATGAGAACGATTTAAGTCCACAAACATTAGACGTCATGTATAGATTTTATCAAATATCGTGGGCTGCCAAATCCATCAACAGTATTAATCACACGTAGTTCTTAGATAATGTATTTCTTACAGAAAAACAAACGAGATACTATGGCTACTATCGATTTTACTGCGGGGTGAAGCTGACGAATTAAATTTCTATACGCCGTTAGAAAAGAAACTTTGTTTTCGAGTCAAAGCTTCCTCTTGGCGGGGTGCATGAAACGTTTTGCGATACGCACTGTATGTACTCAACAGTACATACACTGCAATGGCGTTGCCGGGCAATCTGCATAAAAAGCTTAAACTCTCAGTGTCTATGTCAGCGAACGCGTACACGAGTGGATTCTCAAGTTTCACTCAGGAACGGAGCCAAAAGCCTCAACCATAGTTAGCTTTGCTACTTCAAGAATATACATATATGAACTTATTGTCCTTTTTTTCACGATGATCATATCTGCTTCTCTTACGTGCGGCTTGTACCTAGGACCCCTCCTTCTCAGAAATTCGCAGCCACCTTAGTCTTCTTTCCATAGAGACTTGGACCGCACTGTAGCTCACACTTGGTTTGTTTTGTTAAGACATCGTGCAGAATAGATTGCTTCACGAGTATTCACTCCACTCTCGGTAATTTACCGTGCCTGCTCGTCTGAGCGTACTTGAGTCGAATGTCTGCTCCTGTGCATCACCTTAGATGTCACAATGAGATCCCGCAATAGGCGCAGTCTTCGCGACCGACAAACTTTAAGGTGGCGCCGAGGTGTTATCCAATTCAATCTGTTCCATTGACCTCCGAGCCAGGTCCAATTACCTTCACCTTCTCTTGACAATATACAGCTAAGCCGTTTTAAAAAGCGGGAAACTCACTCAGCGTTCCCACTGCATCACGCCTGGGTCCAACACCTTTTTCAACGCATTTAAGAAATCAAAACAAAATGCATACAAACCAGCAACACGGGCTACTGATGCAAAAGCAAATACAGTTACTTCAACGCTAAACTTAATGCGTTCTAGCACGCGATTCAAGTGGTATTTCCGTTACTGAACACCGACAGTGTGAATACCTCGACATCTTCCGGTGTCAAACGAATTTTTGCACGAATTGCAATACCATGGATATTCGGACTGGCTCTCATACGAACAATGCCCGAACCCAGGAAACGCCACTGACGAGAAAGATTCGAATTTAAGCAATACACGAATGACAAATGTTGGTACATCAGTGGATCAAATGTACAAACTGAAAGTGATGAGCAGATCTGATGCGGATCAGATACAAGGATCCGGAGCATCGAGATGACATCGATAAACAAGAAACACGCTTCGAGCTCAAAAAGAGGGTCCCAACTCTAACAGATGAAGGTCAGTGAGCTCGGTTTGAACGTTTGGCTAATTAACGCAAGCTACCCCAGCGGGAGATTCTGTCAAACCGTTGATGAGGGTGTATGGGTGTACGCTATCGTCTATGGTAGACACATCTGCGGCCAGGGTAATGCCCAGCGTCTTCAAGCGAGCATACGGTGTTGCTGTCGCTTCCTCACAGAGGTTTTACGTCTTAGCGAGACCGGTAGGAACACGCACTCAGCGTATTATGGTGTTAGCCCCACTTCCTGCTCCACCGGAGACTTGATGTTGATAACAACATTCGATGAAGCGCTGCTAGCTCCGCAGTCTTCGTACAGTGCTTAACGTGCCACTCCACGAGCGTTTGAAAGGCCTCGCCCAAAGATGCCTCAAACGTCGTCCGACCATACCACTCGTGGCATGCAGCGACTGCTTCGAAACGTGAGCAGTACTCAGTGGGTTACATGCCTCTCCACGTGTATCACTGTGGCTTCGCCCTCGACGCCTCGGCCCTTAACCGACCATGCCAGGCATAACATGCAGCGACTGCTCCAACACTTGATGAGCTCAGTCGGTTGCGTGCCACTCCACGCTCAGCGCGCGAGCCATGCTCGGGTCTCCTGTCCGATACAACTTTGGTGTTTGACAACTCGGGCACTCCGATCTCCAGCACGTTGCCCGGTTCGGTCTAGTGCCCGCACCAATAAGCGTTTTTGTCTCCTAGTAGAGGTGACTTAATGGATCACCAATGCCCCACCAGGTAACGTGCGCGTAGCGCTCAAGGCCTTAGACCTCCAATTCACCATGGTGTATGTGTCCCAACCATGCCATACCAAGGATAATGTCATGCCTTGATTTTAAGTCTACGACTAATCAGCGTTCGATGCTATCGAAGTCAAGAAAATCGACACCGTGATTCACGGGGACCCTCGGCACCGTGACATATGCCCCCCGTCGCTAAGCGAACAGTGACGATGTCACTTAACTGCGCTTTCAGCGCCTCAGCATACAGCTGTCTACCTTTCATCGTAGACCGTCGAGCAAAACTGCTCGACGCCCCGGAGTCGATCAGAATCCTCCGTGACTTTCAAAGTTTTCACGGTCGCTTTTCACGACTAGCAAGCCCGGCTTGCTTACATGTATCGTGTTTAAGAGCACGTAGCTTTTCGCGGTTATACCCTGCTGACCTCTACCGCTTTGGCTCAACAGAACTTAGTTCTTCTACAGTAGGGCTACTTTGTGTTGTCATGTCCTCGCGACGAACCGGAAGACTGGTAAGAAGCGGGATGTCGGTTCGATGAACCTTGATGCACCTTGCACAGGGGACAATCCGTCCGAAGGTGACGGGTGTCGTCACAGACAAAACATTGTTGGGAGTTTGAATGCTGCGCGGCAGCTTAAACCTCCGCCTCCTTTATTTCAGCATCGCTGAAATCCATCGGCTCATGCCAGCTCGACGAGCTGCTCAAGTGTACATTCCAACCAAGTTGTGCCTACTTAAAGTTGAATTCAACACTCAATACCACTACTAGTGCTTCTTAAAATAAGACGGATGCACAGGGAAGACTTCCATTCTGGCCACGCCAGTGAGGGGACCCTACATAAAGACGACAAAATGGACAAGCTGTAACCTGTTGTCTTCTGGGGTGGGGCCGGTGCCACAATCTCCCGTTCTGAGCCGGTGGAGTCAAATAACGATTGTAATTCGCCCGTCGAGGCGCTACCTATTCATGATAAATGGAATCTCCATTTGTCACGATATGACGGTTCTGCTGAGTCAGCACTACCGTGTGACGATAAACCGTGCGAAGCTGTGAAGCTTCACAGGCAAGTGGTGAAAAATATCATTTACCCGTGAATCAAGTGGCTAAAGAAGTCTCATAGGCTGTGAAGATCCACTCGCTTCCTACATTGCTTCATTCCGCTGAGGTACTTTTTTCTTGATTATGATCATGATTTTTCGTAACTCTTTGTATCTCATTTTAGATTAAAAAAAATAGGATATATTTAAAATCGCACTAATAACCTGCAGTTATATTGATTAAATGCTAAAAGATAATTTGACATTAATTATTGATCAATATATCACTCAGTCGACCAACAAGTCAATAATTAAGTTAATGATGTTGTCGCCAACTAAATCTCGCGAAGAAGGGCGAATTGTGGCTGACAGAGAATGAAGTTGAGGGTATAAGTGACATAAGTGATTTGAAACATCTTTGTGCCACGCGAGCTAGAAACTTCATCGCATTGAGCTGTATGATGATCAAGTAATGGAGAAAGTTGATGAAACTAAGGAAGCAGCAGGAAATGGCTCTGTGAATGTGTTGGATGTTGTTCCGACCGAAAAGGCAGATGCACTGGCTGCAAATCGAGATCTTGCATCATCAATGGCAATTCCAGCAGCTGAACCGACGGAAATATTTGACAAACTTGAAGAAGTCTGACGCGCAGAGGAAGATTGGTATGTGTACTATTAACGTCGTGGACGTCTTAGACAAATGCTGAAAATTTTGTGCGCACAATTTGGAAAATCGTCGACGAGTTCTATGACAGGAACGAGACCCAATTCTGTTCATCTGCGTGGGAGGGGGAAATCGCAACTTGCATTGGCATTAAATGGCCAACGACCTTGGTATTCCTGGTTGGCTACTTCAGTCGAATCCGGTTCTCGACGTCTCTATTGCAATTTAACCTCGATATCGTACGTGTTTGTTGTGGTATTTGAAATCTATTAAGTGGTCATACAGTGATTAGCTATGCACAATTTGTTTATTCATATGAATGCAAAGGAAAGGATCACGGTATGCCCGATACACCTCAAAATCATGTTATTCTGTACAAGGAGCATCATTTGTACCATCATAGTACTTGTGGCTTGGTTACAGATACGAGTGCAACTTACAAACTTCGTGTATCATTACTGCAGAGTAGTCGGAGTTGCTGACTTACCAACCTTCTGACATACTTCCTCGAATTGCAAATAGTATAAAGTGCAACAAAGATTACACCCGAGTAGATAAAGTAGCGTCTTTATTGTTAACAAGCAAAGCTGTAACATTGGCGAGATGATTAGATCAGCGACTCTGTCTCCATTCAATGCCCCACTAGAAGAAGCAAAAATCAGAATGATTGACCAATTTCGCTGACTCGATGGCTCCAGTGGTCCGTACAATTTCTCAATGGTTGAGTATAGTATTTCATTATTTCGTTGCTTCGTATCTTTCAAATACTTCGCATTGGAAGACAACGTGTTCCACAGAAGACCATTATTCTCGTTCTTGTGTTCAGAAGACTAACCAAACGCACGGAGACCTTGGCTATTTGATTCGGATTTTTTCTTCTATGGTTGTGTCATCTCCTCGGCGATTTTGACGAGTTTGCTATCTTCAGAATTTTTTCCAAATTCAATCACTTTTTTGACTATCGTGTCATACTCGAAAAGTTCATTCCCAGCAATTTTTGACGATTTGAAATAAGCTGACCACAATTCGTATTGATTCTTCTTTACACCAAAATACCCAAACACTTTTCTTGATGGGACGCGGTTCTCACTCCACTTCGTCACCAATTTGTCTTCGAGCTTTTTCCCAATCTGCTCTGGATCAGTTGATCCTTTAGACGCAAGCAGTAGCTGGACAATGTAGCCATCGTCATCAAAGCTGTTCAATATAGACCACAACTTCTTAGGCCCGTCTTCTTGTTTCTCATGCGCATACGCCAACCACCGCTTTAACCGACTGTTGTCCAGCATCTTCAGAGAACGTAGCTCAAGATTGTCAAAAACTTGCTTCAAGGAGTAATTGTTTTTATGCCAATAAGTCAGCTCAACTTTTTGAAGATGCAGACCCAACCAGGACATAGATTCCTGGATAACTTCTGACAGTTTGGCCTTATCGTCAGCATGCTCAAGTAATACCAAGTAAATCGATTCGTAAGCTTTCTCGACGTCCTTTTTATAAGATGTTATTACACTCTGAGCCCAGTTCAGAACATCCGAATGAATAAGGAGGATTTCCAGGGGAGTTTGCTCGAACTGCTGGCGTGGGAACTTCTCGTCTGCGATTGGTGTTTATTTCCTCTTCAACGGCCGCTTGTATTGGTTTAATGTTTATTTTCTCACCACCGGCTTTAGTAAGTCCCTTAACAAAAGTAATAAGACATCTGCTTTCGGTGTTGTCATCGTTGTCGCCAGCGTCATCAGCTAATGCTGCGAATGTGTGCTGGTCGAATCGATTTCATTGATTTCGGAAGTGCGTCGCGACTGTGGTATGGCACTAAACTCACTTGGTAGAGTGAGCACTGATGCCACAGTACTGTCATATCGAACGAGAATAACGGACAGAAGGTGACCAAGTGCTTTCAGTACAACTGTGCTTTTCATTGCGGCGATTGGGCTCAAATTCTGTTATGAACTCTAAGATTGGTAGAATTCTATTTAATACCATCATACAAAGAATTCAGACGAGCAAAAAGGTCATATCTTGACGCATGGTGTTAAAATGCAGACTGCACAGATCGGATCATCTATCATTTATCTTCACCATAAGTGTCCGTTCCAAATGATGGAACGGACACTTATGGTCACCACCTGTACGATGGGAGGCATCAGCAAATGCGAAAAGAACATATGGTCACATACGTCAATGTGAAAGGTGTTCATTCAATAAGACGAAATTTGTTTATGATGTTTTATATAGGAATAATTATGATGTACTTTTATTTCGATCCAAACAGTGTATCTTGAGTTAATCTTAAGATTTGCATCCTGTCCAAAACAAAGCCAAAGGCAGTATAGAAACGAAGGAAATACAGACAGATCTGTGCAAGCAGAGTATAAATGTGTGCAAGCAAATAGTTTGCTCACTTGCTAATTGATTATATATATAATTATGTTAGAATCCAAAATCCGTATTATGGTGTAACATACACATTACATTGTTAATGCAACAGACAATATTATGGAATACGTACACTAGATTTTTGTGTGATATTACAAAAAATAAGCTGTAACTTATTACAGATGCTCTTTGTATTATTATGCACAATAAGAAAGATTTATTTAGTTACTAGTTTTAACATATTGGAAGAGCATGTTGAAGAGAAGAGAAGAGATGAGAAGAGAAGAGAAAGAAAGATGAGAAGACCAATAGATTGTATGCAGAAGACTCTTTGTGCAAAGCATGAAATTTAGCCTTTGTCCGTTGTAAACTCAAATGCTTCGCGTCAAAGCTTTCTCTGTGCAAAATGCACGGAAATGCTGCTACATAGGGAAGTACTAGTAATCTTTTAGATGAACACAGAGTTAGCCCGCTACTCGTCTTATGGATAACCAGACTCGCATAGTAGCCTTACGTCTTAAGTTGGTCATGAGGTGATCGAACGCTTGACAACTTAAGAGCCGGATGCGCATATAGAATGCCAGAAGCCCACAAGAATGCACCGTAACGACACAACCATGAGGACCTCAACAGTCCTTAGTGAGAGCGCAACTGGCGTTCGCCATGAGATTAGAAATTGAGCTTCCGGTATTTTGACATCAAGGGCGACAAAACCGGAGGGATTTTAAATTACCATGGAGTTTAGTCTGCAAATTGCGCTCGCTGTCTCCGGGCAAAATGGTCGCACTCAACGATGGGCACCAGTTTGTAGTACCTCTGTGGAGAAGTACTTTCAACGTTAAGAGATTTGGATGTCTCGTGAGTATTCGCATAGCCTGTGGTCAAATGATATCTTACCAGTCCCATGAGGTGGTAACTTGCGGGCAATGTTGAGCAGTGGCGAACTCAAATTGCTGCGATAGTGGCATATTCTATTTTGAAGGTCTCTACAGTTCCTAGCTCCTTTAAACAGGGTCGACATTCAACGAAACTTCCTGTGTCCAGCCAACCTCTTTCGAAAGAGCGCTGGCTGTCGGATCAAATATGGAGTACAATTTCTGTGCCGCGAGGGCAATTAACAGCTGAAGCTTCGTGAGCGCATATATGGCGACGAACTTCTTGCATTTTATGAAGAAGGCGTGAGTTATTTTGGCTGTTATGCAGTCTCAAGGCACTCGCAGATAGTACAACTTCGGAAGTATCAAAGGCCTATCACCAATTATTTTGTCTAAAGAGCTCGAACAGTTCAGTTTAACTACTTGTAGTCCTGCGCACTATTGTGGGGAAGCATCGACTCGTAGCAGGTCATCCTAGGTATATTGAAAAGGGTTCACTTGACCTCTTCAAAGGACACGGCCCGAAAAGTATATTCTTTGCGATTCCCGTCCCACCACAATCCACTAAGTCAACCGTGCTGGGTCTAGTCTTGCGATGGTGTGCTAAACTACAGTGAGTCAACTTTCCAATGAAAATACAATATACCCGAACTGTATACACCAGATGAGTAAACTGCTCAAAATGATACACATGTGCATTTTCGTGCTCCATTACACAGTCGTACTCATATGTTACATTTCTGATTCCAGAACTCCCAGAAGTACAAAGGTGATTACAACTGTAACGTAGTCAAACGTGCCCTGGTAGAAGGGTTGGGTCACACACGATGGTGTGACCATACAACGGTGTGGGTTACACAAGACTGTGCAATCACACAATGGTGTGGCTACACTTTAACAAGAAGTCAGTCCGTTGCTTAACTGCCAGTAGTTATGCATTCTTATTAGGTTTTACTATTTTATAGGAACATCCTATAGATTTCGATATAGGTGACTTTGCCGCAAATAAAAAAAATCATACAGTCTCAAATTTTAATGGAAGAGTGTATTTGCTTTGGCAAAGGTTTTAAGATTTTCTTGGAGGCAGCGTTTTGCAATCCGCTACACTCGTTCTGGTCCTAGTATAGAACGAGGGTCGGTAACTTTTAGTAAGATTCCTCTAAGCAAAGAGCTACGGCAGCCCCGCTGGACTTGGTAGCACGTGTTGTCAAGCTCCACTTGAGTCGATACGATTGATCGTCTGTGAGATAGGAGCACTTCTGTTATTTGCCTCAGGCCAAAAGAACGAATTTAAAAAGCTGATGTTTCTGCTTGACCCCTAAGGGCGCGCAACACCTCGCTTCGCAAGTACCTAAACCGATCAACTCGCGCAAAGATACATTTTCGAGCCATGAAAATGCTCAGCTAGAGCACCCACAACAGAAGATGTTGGCATCGACTGCGTCCATGATGCCACCGTCGACGACAGATGACTCCTCCCGACCCAAATCGCTCATGGTGAGCGTCAAGGCCTTCGAGGGCAACGATGTAGATTCCTGCATGGGTGAGAAAGCTCGGGATGGCTATGGTGTTCACTATGCTCCAGACAGAGCAACAGGGCGTGGCTCTGGCCATCTCCAGCTATATGGACGAGCACGAGAAGAGGCACTGACGTGTGGCACTTCGGTCGAAGTGGCGTTTCCGTTCTGGACGAAGTTGAAGCGTCAACTTTACGAGTGTTCTCACCGCCTAACCAGGCATTTTGCGTGCAATCGCATTTCCTTGCCGCCCGGCAGGGCAAGATGAAATTGGCGAACTTTGACCAAGAGTTGCGGCCAGGATGACGACCGATCCTCTCCCCGAGGCGGTTACGTAAGTAAAAACGGTGACAAAAATCAAATCGATACGTATGCCGTGAAATGACCAAATCACATCTGGAGGGGATTGAGTCTGGGACTGTTTACACTCTTTCGCGCCGGTATGAGAACACACGTTTTTGCATTTCACCATTTCACCTCCTTTTAAGCAGCTGGCAGAAAGCATTGCCAAGTCAGGAAAATTGCACATGTAATTTAGCAGGCCAAACCATCTTCAAAAATCGCTTTTGAATAGTAGTGCTGACCATTTTACCAAAAATATAACCTAGATCTTTGCAAGGCTAGCTTGATGATCTTGATTCGAGATGAAGCATCGATACAGTGAAATCTCGTCAGCTCAAAAAACTGGCTTTCCCTTTTAAAATCGCGCAAACACCACAGATCGCACGCAACAAATTCGAGGATTTACACCTTTTTTCTCTCTTTAAAACGGTTTTGGAATATAAATTATCGTCACCAGACTGGTTAAATGTGCTGGTGTACTATAGAGCTCCTGAGGCAGAAGTGGGCACGATATGGGGAGTCACTAAATCTCAAGAGCAATTGGTACTACCCACCGACCTTGTTTGATAATGCGTACACACTTAAAGTGCTGTTGTGCAGCACTTTTTCTCTAAGAATCAGTGTAGCGTCAGAGCCAGCGATGTGGCTATAGTGAAGCCCGCAATTGCATTAGCATATCTGACACATGAAGTTAAGCCAAGAAAACTATTACTCTCTTCACCAGATCTACTTTATGCTTGCGCAGCAGCAAATCGTTGATAACGTTATAATGTTACTTTGTCAATGGACTCAGCCGACCTGTTATGCACAACTTAGTTCCAGGAACCAGGTCAATTGCATGATACCATCTCTCAAGCGTGCAGCTCCAGTGAAGACTCTCTTGTATTCTTGTCTGGATACTACTTCACTGAAAGCCGCAATGATTCGTTAGGCTCCCAAAGGATCCGTTAGGTCCACGAAGGATAAAAAAATCCAGACTAGCTGACTATCAGTGCTTTTCGGATGTCCTCTACGACAGCCTTGATAAAGATAATTCTTAGAGTAGCTTCTCTTCTGTAAATATCAGTGGTCTCACCGCCTTGTCATTCTACGAGTCTAATCCCAAGTCCTTAGTGTGGATTGGGTAGATGAACTCTCGGCGTGGTGGATACTCACCAAGTTTTCTTTTCCTATGTGTACGGCCTTAAAAATAGACTGAACGACTGTGACCCCATTGGGTTTTGAAAGGCATGTCATGGGGTACGTACCTTACAGTGGACGTACACATTTCACTATTATGCCTCAAACGTAGAGCAAAGCGCGAGGGTGAAGTACAATAATCAAGTGACTTGTGAGCTTCTAAATGCGTATGACTTTTAAAGTAGAGGTAAAAGAACAGATAGGCTTCTAGCCTCACGCTATGCATTGCGTAAAGTTTTTGAACATGCACCGTCGAACAAATTTAAGTACCACTAAAAGCTATTGATGTTTCCAATTAAAATGTTTCTAAGTTGAAGCAAACAAGTAGAAGCTGCTTAAAATGATCGCGTCTAGGCACCATGGATGGTGATAATAAACCAATGTTCTGGCGCTAAAAGCGCAAATTGAGTCGGAGCGTTCTCTGTGCGAGGTGACGAGCAACCCGCCGCGCTATAATTGGGACGCGGATCCTTAATCAGAACTAGTATAAGTAACTTGACATCGCTGAGCTGAAGAGCCAGCCAGCTCAATTTCAATACATACGTCATACAATATCGGATGATACTGCTGTAATTCAATCTGCGTGAATGCCTCACGAGAATCTTCTTGTTCGAAAACATCTACGCTGCTTTTATGTACACAGCTAGCGCTATATTTCAAGATATTGTCAAGAAACTTCAGACTAGCATATGCTCAGACGCACGAACATGGTACTGGTAACGGGGTAAACACTGCAATCTTTATGTACTTATATCGTACATTTTTACTTTGATCGAACCTCACTAATTCAGTACACTTGCTCTAGTTTACATTGCCCTTTACTCCATTATGAATCCTCATAAGGTCCGAAGTAAAGGTTCAATGAAGGCGAAGAAACTTTGCAAAGAAGAGATCCGTGGTAAATGTTAGCTGTTAGCCCAATGCCAAAAAATTCAGGCAAGTTATCAGTGGCAGACTGCATTTGTATAAATTCAGTATTAGTCTACATAGGATAAATCATGTTTATATACATAGCTAAGCGAGTAGTACAACTAGGTACGGTAGATGTCAAGTGACCATAATGCATATCGTACTTCCAAATACCCCTATCTAATGCGTAAATTCCGATGGATATTAGAACGCTCGCCTCGCTGTGATGCTTTTGTCCAGACGCTAATCAAAAGATCTGTAGTGGGGTTTGGAAGCGCCTCCATTTCATAGCCTCCTTTTCCAGTCCTTACCTAGCAGGATACAGCACCTTCAAATTTCCACAGTAAACGCGGTTTGTACCCGTAACCGGGCAAACAGAGCTTGATTAGTTCGCAACAAAGGCATCGCAAGAGCTTTTGCAAGCAAAGTACGAGCACTCATGTGTGGTTCTAAAGTTTTTCGCTCCTACATCGCCGATCAGACAGAGATTTTTCGTCAAAATGACGTCAAACAAAGCAGTGACCCAGACGGTCTTACGCCATGTGGTGGGTTAAATGTAGAAGGAAAGTAAGATTGCGAACAACAGCCTTGCTGCTGGTCAATAGCGTCTGTAAAAACCGCCAGGAGTTTTTAATACTTAAATGTCACAATGGAAAGGCTGCGGATGCTCACGCCAAGAGCCGAGTTATCTATCAAAGCTTCGATGAATATGTGAAATCTCATTCAATGATATTCAGGTTGGCACCGACACGCAGATTTATGCGAACCGAGTTGGCTGGTAAAACTAACGTTTGACAGCATAGATCCAGCTCCAATGACCGCGACAGACTATAAGAGCATTTTGATTATCCTGAATGTGATTTTGTTTCATTGGGCTGCTGGTGTGAAAGGGTCGGTTGCAGGAGTTTAGAGATACCCTTAGAGGTGTACCGAAAATGCAAAGAATGACAGTCACCCGGCTGACAAGCAGGTCAGAAATATCGATGGTTCGACAGCTTGTACGATTGGCTGCGGGGTCCCGTACCGAGAGTCATTTTCAACGTGAGCTCAACCCACAAGAGCCGAAGATGCCTGTCAAGTGCATCACTTTGAGAAAGTTACCAGCCGGCATGACCATCAACGGCTTCGTCAAATGCGGTTTCTGCACAGCAGCTTTCACGACTAAACAAAATGCAACTAATTACGACATTGACGCGTTTACTTTCATTGCTGTTCATCTTTTCGCCGGCAACGATGAAGGTGAAGTCGGTTAAGCCAATGATATATTTGCCTGATTAACGGGTCCAAAAAAGGATTTGTATGCCAAATAACTGTAGTTTACCAGGACCAAATTTTTCGTGCTCCTACGAGGAATGAACTCATCCTCACCCTGACATCTTGCGGTAAATAAGCGCATTTTGGTACTGTACGAGCTTACCTAAAACCAGCACATTTATTCGAAGGTGCTGTCAGTTAAAGGACCGATCATCGCCGTGGTCAACTCTTCGAGTCCTGATCCAAGAGCACATAATACCCTAGACTCTCTCGCCGATATGGAACGGTTAAATTAATTGTGGTATGGCGAGTAATTACAATATTTGTGAGACTTAACACTTCTCATTCGCCAACGTTTGACTTTGTACCCAAATCGGCGTTTTATGTCGCAGTTGAGCTCGTGAAGTCAGCTTAGAGACGCCATAGAGCAAAGTCCAAAACTCTTCTGGTCATCCAGCTTTGCACAATGCAATAGTTCTGGTAAAATATTATAGATTTCGTAAAACGTGTGTGTACTTACTCAATCAATTAATTAGCTGTTTCTGATCAATATTTACTACCTCTCAGCAGCACTGAGTATGGATACTTGTGATATTCCGCATCCTCGTGTGGTCTTTTGCTAAATCGCGCGGTCAAATTTCTCCGGACAACGTGTCACTGCTACATTTATTGCGCTTGGCAAAACTAGTCATCAAATTCACAACAAGGACTCAATAACTCTGTTCCATCTATTTAAAATAGAGCAGAAGGTGCTCAATAATTTATGCACGATTTGATTAGACACGCTTGATACTTTTTATGATTCGGCTGTTCCCGACATGAATAGCAATGCGTCTGGAAGCATTTGTTTAGACGATCACCAGGCACGGATTGACGCTGGTGAGGCACCCTCATGAGCTTCTTAATCAGACGCCATAAGAAGGTATCACTGGCTTCTACAGAGCTCTATAAAACTAGACCGTTCGTGTCTAGTGTCAAAGCTCCTGAAGGTAATGGCGGCTCGTAAAGTCTCAGCCTCTAGATGTTATTCAAGCGCGTAAGACTTGATATTTGCCTTGATCCAAATAAACAACAGTATGCGGTGCTATCCATCTTCAAGCCTGAAGGATGCTGCGTCGAGGAACAGCATTCTAAAACTATAACTAATGACTATGTCACTGACAGCAACAAGATGGCCCACCTTGCTCAGACGGCCCACCCAGACCACAATGCTGGAATTACCGGGTGATAATAACGATTTTACCCCAATAATAAGCGCAAGCACGACGAAATAAGGCCTAGTACGACGAAAATCGCAAGCCTTTAAGCCGCCTCATCATGTTGACCATGTGCCCACGAGATGAAAACTCGTATAGCCGGAATGTTGGTGACCCTTTTTCGTAACTTTGGTTATGATTTTCCTTTGTCGCCGTTAAATTGCGCAACTCGATATCTTTAATGTATATTCAATTTAGTGTGGAGCACAACGTTTGATCCGCAATGGTCGATTTGTGCGGTAAGTGAGTAGCTTTGTGAGCGCGATCGGGACAAACGATCTCAGTTTGGAATATATATCCTGCCGGGAAAGCTGTGGTATTCACACTTTACGCTCTTATGCACTCACTTTCCTCTGACGGATGCACGCACGACATGTACTCACGCAGAGCAGCCCCTGAAATCGAAATAAGATCTGTTGTGCCTCGCAAAGGCTGAGATCAATGAGGCTCTCCTGAGCAATCTTGATGCTCTCCAGATGAGCTCAAAAATGTTGTAGCCCAAAATTATTCTATCTCTATATCAGCGTTATTGGGAGTCACGAGTCGCAAAATACGCTGCTACGATCAAGAGCATCATGTGAATATGAACAACGCACTACCGTTGAAAGCAACAACGAGTATGTGAATGTATTGAAAATGTCAAGAATGGAGATCAAGTCCAAGCTTACCACTTAGGACACTTCTCGCCTTGTTTTACAGTGTAAGTGTCATCAACTACTACTCGGTTCAACCTGATACGAGATATATCTAAAGCTATACCGGCATATACGATGTTATCCATGTGATTTTTCGTCGGTTAAAATCATTTGGGACCACTTGTCTCTCGTTAAGAACCGCGATGAGTCATGAATCTATGAATGCTAGACCGATTAAAAATGAGAAGGGAAGGAAAAATGTTACGCAAGCACGAAGATCTGACAACTTCAGCGCAGTACAGGAATTGACCAAAATGGTCATCGATCGAATGTTTGAAAGCCCTGAACAAAACTTGGAGGACAAACGTGGCTGTGAGCTGCGTTCTTCTAGTATACTCTCAAATAATGACAGAATAATGCTACCTTGATACTACGATCGCCAGAATCAAGTTTTTGCAGGACGGATCAAGGCAGTTTTGGAACGATGTATTCAAGGCAGATTCCTGTGGAGACATGCATTTTCTGTCGCGATCCCTTGTGCTTGACTATGCTGTTCCTAGACGTCAGATCAGTTTCATCGTGTGATGGTAAAGCTGATTCAACAACCCGGTGAAATACGCACACTGTAAGAAGAACTAAGGCTCACACTCAAGCTTAAATAAAGCATATCATTATTGTAAAAGCACTCGAAATTGATGCGTGAAAATTTGCGAGGTAGTGAGATCCCGGAAGAGTAGCTAAACATTTGTTGATGGTTTTAAAATTGGAGCAACCATCACAAATAAATCTTCCGTAAAAACGACCGGAAAGAACTGAAAGAAGACGTGGTTCATCTATCCTCAAAGAAACAGCGGATTTTGTCTTTGGTAAAAGATGATAGGATGGAATCGCAAAATTTTCGCCGCGAGAATTGACATGTGATCGGGTGTTCAATATTTTTCTTCTAGTCACTGAATTCGTGAAATTGTAACAGTGCGGATTTTAAGTACAGATACCTTCATCAGGTACGTGATTATATTTTCCGCGAGCCATTTTGACGATAAAATCGGCGCGAAGTGAGGGGAGTTGTCTTCTTCAAAAGACACATGACTTACGAGCATAGACTTGAGCAAGAGAAGAAGCACTCAATACTGAAGTGACCATCCGGTTCCGAAGGGCAAATCGTGTAAATACGATAGGCTTGATGTAGCTACAATTCCGTTCATTTTAGAAAGTACTGCTGTAGATTAGCATAGCAAGGTTAGCTCTACAAGCGCATGCGACTTAATAAGTAAGTACATCCAATTGCCGGGGCAATTTCGCGCTATTTCCCTCACTACAAATAGTAAGCGTAGCGGGAATTTCAGGGAGCGAATACATGTACCTTCGAGTCTGCTTACTGTAGCAGCGACCTTCGTTATTCTTTTGACGAAGCTCTTAGACCTCATTGTTATATGAAGCTATATTTTAAATTCTAAGACTGTGCAAAGCGTATGACGCCGGAAGTTTCTTCTCTCAATAAAACCGCTTTGGCAACGCACGACAAGACGATTCGAGGATCGTGACGCACTGCTGCACGCTGCATGTGAAGCGGGTCTAAGCTGTGATTTAGCTAACTTTCGATGAATAAAAACTGAGTCATTTTAAATATAATTGAGGACAGTGGTATTGGCTAGTCGACGATATTCTTGTCTCAAGATCTACCAGCAGGACATGTTCTCAATAATACATTCCAGAAAGTGATTTCCTTTTAATCGTTTTTTGCAAATATTTTTGTACTTTGACAACTTGTTCAAGCGTATATCTTTGCTTGCAAAAGATTAAGGAGATCGTCCAAAAACGAATTTCGGTGCTTCGCAAGGTTTTAGACGTCTATACCATCGGGACAAATTTGTGCATAAAATGATATGGGCTGAACAACTGTGTCACTAGAATAAGCGCTTATCGACAATCATCTATCGACGATGTTGTTCTGCAACACATTCTTTCCCGTTTGCGTTAGCGGCAGAGTGGTCGTTTCATGATCGAATCTTGCACAATTTGCTGCTTACACTAATATTTTGAGTTAAATGATCGGTGAAGTGCGGAGTATTTTCCATGTCATCAAACACGTATCGTATTCGCACGGAAGGAAATGTACACTAATCCTCTGGCAAGGGTTGTTATCGTCTAATTGAGCAAAATTCAGTCTGGTTTCACGATGCTCTTATCGATCGGAAGAAAAAATGTGCGGTTGACTGCCTGTCAACACCCTGGCAAAATGTTTCAACAGACTGCTCTGCGATATTGCTTTACTATGAACTCATTCACGATAAAGCATGAGTTCAGCATCTTCTTTGGTTTCAACTGTGCCTTCTCAGTGACTTCAAACTCTGGCAATTTCATGTACATACTTCATGGGCTAACGTTTATTCCTAAAGCACTACTGCTCTGCATGATAGACAGTAGCGCTAACTCGACAGAGCCGCTGAAATGTGATATAGATGAATTACCCAGATATGACACATCTGGCCCTTCTTCCCGCGACTTTCAGACCTGCTTCTACAAGGTTTTGCTTTGGAGGCCGCGGCATTAATTAAATCTGAGCCACCGCGATACTCAATATTCGTTTCTGACTTATCAAGATTAGCTATGATTATCCCAGCGAACAATCACAATACCCATCGTCTTTGAGATACACTCTGGCAACCGCACCTCACTACCGTATCTACCCTTTGAGCTTAGATTATATCAAGTTGAATCTTCAGATAAGAGGCTAACGCAGCCACACAACCGATCCAAAATCGCTTCCGCTAATTAGCATAAGTGGGCTCATATCTCATCAAAGCCTTTACTAAGGGAGAGGGGAGAACATCATACTCCATTTTGTAGATTTCAAGTCCATCGATTGCTTATGGCGTTGTACCTATTTAACATTTATTAGGAGATCGTACTTTAGAGTTTGTTCTTAAACCAACCAGGGGTCACACTGGATGGTGTGACCGTACAAATATATGGATTTCACAAGTCGGTGTAATCACACAATGGTGTCGCTACACCGAAACAAGAAGCCACTACGTGGCAGAACTGCCAGTAGTTATGCACATTAATTCGTTTTACTCTTGAAATTTGGAATACCTAAGATTTTAGATATAGGCGGCTCTCCCGCGAATTAACAGATAAATACAGTTTTAATCTTGAACGAAAGAGTGCATTTACCTAAATTAAGGATTTGATTCTTCTTGGAGGAAGCGAATTGCAATCCGCTACACTCGTACTAGTTCTGGTATTGGAACATAACGTCGTGGACCTTAGTAATAGCTTATAAGCAGAGAGCTACGGCAGTTCCACTGCAACAATGCATCTGACCCTCTCCAAGATGCAGTCACGGTAACCATGTTCATGGAGAATTTTCGACGCTCATAGAGTTCATCTACGTTTGTACTAGAAAGAGTATCTGTATGATGTGGTCCCATATTACATCTTTGGACTCCGTTTGATCTACTGTAAAGCGTGAGACGTTTGACAGCGTGAAATGTTTAATATTAGGGTATGTGTATCCCTGTTTCAATTGTGGCGATAACAATTTCTAACATCTGAGCATTGACCCCCCCACTAACAGAAAATTATCCAGTACGCGGTGCTAATACCCGTGCCATCTGTAGCTTCCGATCGGCCCAAGCTGAAAATGCATCATATATTGAGTTGTTGCACCCAAGGTCCTACTTTTGCGCGTAGATGTAGATAACAAGCACGACTCGCTGAGACATATTCTAAAGCAAGGGGTTTAATTACTGGCCATGTCAGCTTTCCTTATCCAGAGAGAATAAAAAATCCCTACCCCTTCAGTCAAAGTTTTGATGCTAGCAGCTTTTCTGTGTAAGCCACAATTCTTAGATTGGCACCCAGTTTGGGCATACCTGGACGAACTTAACCAGAGCATCCTTGTGTCTTGTCAGTGCTTTTGGCACGATTTCTGATCCCATCGGGATTCAATACCGATATGATCCTATAAATCCGATCTGATTGTCTCAGTGACAGTTTTCTTTCGCATTTCATGCTCCAATCTTGCAGAGAAAAAAATCCTTTCACGATGTGATTGTGAGATTGGCGACAAGTGCAATGATGTTGCCGTGCACTTTGCACCGAGAAATCTTTATCTCTTAGGGTCAATATCAATCGCATAGAGGCTGGAACCGTACGATCTCATTACCACGGGACCGATATCCTCGTTGAAAATCAATGCTATTAGCTTGCTCTCCTAGTACTCGAGTACACAAACTCAGGACTCCTTTTTTTAAACTACTTTAAGTTACGCCCTTTTCACTATCTCTCACTCTCTCCTATAATAAAGTAACAAAGAAACTGGTCGCCGACGATAATCTTGACGCAACAATGCGGAATAAAAGCGTCCTGATTTTTTTGTTTCTCGGTTAGCAGATATCCCAGTTATTTTTTTTTAAAAATTGTCATTTCATTGATTCTGATATTCCGACTTATCAAGTTTCACATTTACACGAACTGTAATGTTAATTTTGTCCAATTGTACTGTTTTCTGTTAGTGTTGTTGCAACCTTCCGTACCTATTGTTTAGGTGTTTTTTCAAAAGGAAATATTTTGATTTGTGTGATTGTGATCATAAATTTGCTATACATAGGTCTCAGAATTTCGACAATTGCTGCTGACAAGTATAAAATCCAGAAAAAATAGGAAACGTCAAGCCATCCATCTCAGGTGGTGTTTCCATCCACAGCTTGCTCCAAGACCTTTCTACACATCACTCAATCTTCTTTAATAATCTTAATGTCCAATCTCATCTGTCACGTCCATCCATCTCAATACTATTCGCTCGACATTTCACGACTCAGAATCAGTATACACTGAAAATTACAATGCCGTAGGACAAGTTGCAGATATTGTACCGTATGGTCTTGAATTGCCTTTTCGGTTACACACGGTGGCCATTACACACTCTTCGGAGTTAAAGTCATTTCGTCCCATAAAGACTTGTTATTTATTCTATAGTCTTGTCTTCTCGACGTCTCACTCTTTCCGGAGCGTATCAAACTTCCCCCCTCCCACGTCCTAAATAACCACAAGCCATATTTTTTTGGCGCCACTTGTTGGATCAAAACCTTAGGATGAGCACAGCGTCGGACCAGGACGAGACTGAAGCACAATTGGCTTGGGAGCGTGATATGGAGCGCGCTGTACATGGTCGTGGTCGTACACGAAGTCGTTCGATATTAGCTGATGACGATGACGAAACATCAACTCATAATGACTTAAATGTTGGAATCGACATGAAACAACATGGTCGAAGTCGATGTTTAAGTTCACGTGAACTTAGTGGTACAAAAGACGATGGTGTTCGATCAAGACGACGTAGTTGTTCATTTTCAGCACCAAAATGTCAAGATTCGGATCCAGAAGATGCAGCAACTTTAGCTAAACGTGCAGCATCCTTATCGAAGATTTATTTGGCTGGTTCTGCACCTGTTGATGTATCGAAATTACAAAATGATAGTAAAATTGTGGGAGTCAAAAAGGTTGAGGTCGTCCAACCTACAGGTGCATTATCAGCATCTGCACTTGATGCTTTGTCGGCAGGATTACAACTTTCGGTTGAGAATAGTCTTGTACCTTTGACGGGATATAATGAGACACAATTGACGGAAGAACAAATTGAAGAACAAAAAATGGAAGAAGAAGAAGATCATAAACTTAAAGTTGAAAAATTATCAGCACGAAGATCATTAAGTGTTCGAGCATCTTTATTTCGAAGTAAAATGTTTAAAAGTACGTCACGATTACTTGGAAATTCCGAAGAAGGTTTGAAGCTCGAAGCTGCAAAAGATGTAGCACAAATTCTTGGATCCGACAAGTTGGGACACGAAACGATACCGGATGCAGGACCAATTGTCCCTAAAAAACGACATAAACTAAAATTGTTGTTATTAGGAGATAGCGGTACGTTTCTCATGATGTTTTGATCTTGTTATTTGGTATTGATGATATATGTATGAGCTTTATTAGGTGTGGGAAAAACTAGTTTAATGCGCGTATTTTCAGGTGATGAATTTTCAGAGTCGATGTTAGCAACTGCTGGGTATGTTTTGAGTTTTAGAATTTGAGAAGATGAAAAGCTCATGAGTTTGTTTAGTGTGGATTTTAAATTACGACATATTACGGTTGGAGATGATGCGATTACACTTCAAATTTGGGATACAGCAGGTCAAGAACGTTTTCATCGTATTACTGCAAGTACGTTGGAGTGTAGAAACAAAATGTTTGGAGTTCTTTTAACTTGATGTGAGTGTTTTTTTGCAGCGTATTATAAAGGTGCAAATGGCATTGTACTTGTCTATGATGTTAGTGATCGACGTAGCTTTGAAAGTATGTGACGTGAGTTGAAAGTTTGATCCTTGTTTTAGTAAATGACGAAATGTTTTGATACAGATGTTGGCTATTGGATGAATAATATTCGACAGTACTCGACACCAACACAAATGCCTGCTATGCTGCTTGTGGGAAATAAAATTGATTTACCTAATCGTGTTCTTACAATGGAAGAAGGACAAGGAGCTGCAAGTCAGTATGGCTGTCGATTTATTGGTATGTTATGATGAAGAAGAGTCGAAAATGGTATCAATTGACTTATGATATCTTTTGTCGAATAGAAACAAGTGCGAAAACATCAGAGAATACAAATGGTGCACTTGAAACGATTGCAAGAGATGCGTTTATGATTAGTGTCAATCGTACGTGTTTCAAGTCTGATTTGACATATTTCATTACCTGATACTTATCTTGACTTTTCACAGCTACACTTACACAAAAGATGGTAATGGATCGAGAAAAGGCATTGGCTGGTCGACGCACAAAAGATAATTGTGTTGTTCAATAGTCACAAGCATGATAACACTGAAATGACAGTAGAACGAAAAACATTTCTTTTCGAACATTTACAACAGAGGTTGTACAAGCATCAGATCGCCGTATGATGGTGATGAAGCAGCATAAGGCAATGCAAGTGGAGGCCTAAGCACAGATAACAACAACATTTGATAGTGGGATAGTGATCCGAAGGTTTTGAAAAGATTTTTAAACAATAGGAGTGAGAAATTACGTACATATTGCCAATATTGTTGGGTTACAATTATTGGACAATTAGTCCTCGTCTTCGGATGATCGTGGCTGAACTCGAGAACGTAAAAATTGTTCAGCTTCAGCCTTGCGTGTTGGATTATTCATAACTTCCATAAATTCCCGTGTTTGACGCGCTCGAAGACGATATGAAGCACTACAGAAGACCCTGGAACAATTACAATAATATTGTGATTGTTGTTTTTTAAATGATAGATAGTATTCCAGTGTACCAGCTACAAGTACTGACAAGGCCAAAGGAGCCAATGGCCCAATCACAAGACGATCGGATACTTTTGGTTGTACGAAAACGATGTGCACCGATGAAGCTGGCCACAGTAATGCCCCACATGAGCCCGGAGCGAAAACATGGAGGATTCTTAAGAATTGTATCTGATGATGACATATTGTTTTGTGGACAACATCAGACAATACTTAATTGCAAAAAGACAATATTGAAAAAAATGAACTAAAAGTACATTTACATATGCTTGATAGCATAGTATTGCATGACGTGAGCCAAACACTCCATATGTTCAACAAGATTCTTCGTTTCGAAGTTCTATCGTCCTCATTGGTATAAGGTTTTGGTTACACTCAAAATTGCCCAGAAGTTTACTGTCTACTTGCCAAACCAGAGGTGTAATATGTGTCGAACATGACCAAAAAGCACAAAAAGCACAAAAAGTTCAGTACACAGCACAATATTTTACATCACTTGACACACATCCTCAGCAAGATGCGTGATTATATTTTTTATTTGATGTATACAGCGGCAATCAGCGATGAATTGTGAAGCTTCAATTTAATAGCGACGGATCTAAGAATGCCAAGTGGCTGGCAGATTCTTTTCAAATGTCAAGCTTTAAAGTTTTTAAAGATAATTTAGTACAAAAATTAAATTGGGAGGACCGGAAATTCCTGAGTTGATGTTGATATTCATATTGATGACTACCAAACATACAAAGTCAGGACTTGCAGTGACGGATATCACTATAACTTCAAATACAATGAACGATACAAGACATCTGCAAAGGTTTTACCAGATTTTGATTCCAGAAACTGTAATGGATTGCCGGCGAACGTTATGAAGTTGCTAATGAGTCAGAACCAGTTGATATTACCGAAGAGCTATATGAAGCTCTCTATCAGTGTAAGGAGAATACTTGTGCCATAAATCCTACATTAGATAAGGTAAATATGGAAATGATTGCCGATATTGGCATCAATCAAGGCTTTACAATCTGATTTAAATCTTACCGCGAATATGATTTAAAGATTATGATAGATGAATGAAGGTAGAATATGCGTTATATGACCGCAGTACGCTAGACAAAACCGTTGTTTTCAGCACCCAGATCAAGCTACTACGCGACTTCTCTAACCAATTTAACAAGCGTGATGCTCAAAGGTGCTGGAATGAGTTAAAGATGGATGTTAGTAAGCCATGCATTTCTATGACCATCAGGCAAGTTATCGAAGAGTGATAAACATGGCTACCAAGCCTGATTCTTAGCTTAACGAAGCACAAACAAACGCAGTGGCCAATCTGCTACGGTTCTTGCTGATGCTGAGCAGAAGCGCATCAATGACAAAGCAGTGACGATGCCGTCTTCTATGTTAGAGCGATCAACGAGACAAAATGCAAGTGCCATTTGATTCGTACTTTGTGGGATGGGACAACTAAAGAAGTACAAATTTCATATTGTGTGTCACTCTGAAGCTCTTAGATATTCTTTTCGCTGTATCTAACTACAAGAAAGTGGTTCTCGAAATGCACTTAGTTAAGTAATGCTTATTGCGTATGTAGTCATAGTAGCTTGGAAACGCTTTACCACCCAAGATCGCCAAATACAACAGCTTGTCTTTGTTAATTGGTGGAAAACAGCATTTAGGAACCCATGGCCTAACGTTCATCGTCAATGCCTCACTCCATTTCAACATATCCTTCACTTCGTCGTCAATGAGATTCAAAAGATGCAAATGCATTCCGATTGCCCTCACATTCACTCAAGCTTTCTTTCTCAGTGGCTCTTCTTGCAAGCGACAACATTTGAATGCGATTTTGCCATTAGCTGTTCATATCTCAAAAACGCTTTTCCTTCGTGAGTTCTCAGACTGACCTGTGCACAGGCATCGTCTAGCAAATGGCAAAGCTCGGCCTTTCTTATTTCAAGCACGAGTTCCACTACTCATACCATGAATATCTTGCGAAGCGTGCACGAAAATGCGTCACAATGTCTTACACAACAGGATATTTTGTCACAAGCTTTCGCCACATTTGTTGGTCTTTCAATGTATTTAGCACTATTTGATAGCTGGAAAATACTGGAACAAGCGCTATCAATCTGTGCCGCACGCCGTAGCTGTGCTTTATTCGCTTCATAAAGTTTGTGATCTTGGAGTCCGTGCCCATGACTATGACCACAAGACCGGATGCACGAAACACATTGCGTGAAAAGCAGCCGATTTTATGTTCTCGTTGAGACTCACTTCATCCAGTCCGAAGAACGGCAAACCTTTCTTCTCTGCCTTCATTTTGTCAATCAAAGCGAAAATAATTTTCCGGTCGCATGGCTTCACAGCAGATCATTTTGATAAACGCTTGATAAGCAGTTTAGCACAGAGAATCGGATCCAATTGGAGTGGCTAGCCAGTAATGCCAAGGTCGTCGGCCACCCAACGCAAATGTTAGTTGCGATTTCCCCATGCCTGTTGACCCTCCCACGCAGATGAACCGGATTGGGCACTTGTTCCCGTCATAGAAATCGTAAACTTTGTCCAAAATGTGCGCACAATAATTTTGACATTTGTCTTGGATAAGACGTCCACAACGTTGATAGTACGTCAATGCTTGCCAATCTTCCTCTGCGTCTCGGATTTTTTCAACTGTGACATAGAGTTTGGTCGGCACAATCACCAACACTTGGATTTGCTTCGTTTCCGGCCCTGTCCAACCCATAGGAACATCATAGAATCCAAATTCTCCATCAAGGTGACTTTTTTCATGAACGAAAGCTTCAATCATTGAAGTCATTTCTTAAGCCTCTTGACGTCTTCCGTGCCGAATTCAACCCACGCTTCGCCTTTCTTCGCGAGATATAGCTCTAAATCGTCCGCACCGACCGCCTTCAATTTTTTTTCTTTTTCGTCTATATGGCCTTCTTGAAATCCCCAACCGACTGGCCCGCATTGATGACCACGGGGAATGCACTCACTATTCGTCGTATATTTCAACTTTTGAATCACAATATTTTGAGTTCATTTCCATGAATTTCGACAAGTCACCAATTGTTCGTTTCCAGTAAAGTTCCTAACCGTGGCTTAAAATCCTCTCAATGCAACCATTTTTCAATATACCACGACTGCCAAGTTTGACTAATATTCGAAGGTCTGGCAAGAAGTCATGGCATCTACCACATTTCCAGTTCTATGGAAAGATTCTCATGAGCATGGAATAAAAGGAATTGTCGATGTGGACATGAAAGACTTGTCTTTAAAGAGCACACGGTTAAGAGATTTGTTTCCAGTTCTTAATACAGTGATTAATGCTCAATGCTCGACCGCAAGTAGCTACCGTGAAGTGGAACGACTTCTCCTTTACGGAACTTGTGTGGGTCATCAGCGTAGTTTTGACGCACTAATTCCTGAATTAGAAAACTGTCCACGATTCGTTGCAATTATGAGAGTTCATCCAAAAAAGGTGGTAGATACAAGAGTTAAGATTTATGTTAAAACACTTACGGAGAAGTCTTATCTGGTTAACTGTCGGTCAACTGACACTGTCTGCCATATAAAATCAAGAATTATGGATAAGGAGCGCATTGCTGTGGAAAAACAGCAGCTTGTGTACGCAGGTAAATGTTTGGAAAACCATCTAACGCTCAATTCTTACGGAATACAAGCTTACAGTCGATTATATATGGTTAAAAAAATGTTTGGTGGTGGACTTCCACCGCGAATCTTTGCTGACGTTTCGGATAACTCGCTATTGATAGAGCGAGAATTTTCACGTGATGCCCCTGATTGGCGTATAGCTTATCGAGGGCTTAACATTGAAGGAAAGTGCAATAATGAGGATTGTGTTGCTTACCGACGAATGATTATTTATCCCAAAAGATACGAGGCATTCAACCTCATGCGAGATGATGATATTCGATGTCCGATGTGCCAAGAAAAAGTGAAGCCACGTACATGTGGCTTTTATGACTGTTACTGGAAATTCGATGGGGTGCAATCAGATGATGGATTCTCACTGATTTCGAAATGGAAAGATGCGTTTGGCAGAAAATATCATCGTTTTAATACGGATAAAAAATACGGCTCTGTCGAATGGGAAAGCCTTTTGATTGTAGCCAAACCACGAGAAGAATCAGTGAACGTTGTGCTTTCACCGAGTGATAAGTTGGTTATTAAAAATCAGTGCACGATCTGTTGGTGCCAGTTTGGCTCAATGTTCAAGAAAATCGTGACAACTGTCGGCTGTGGACACAGCTTTCATGACGCATGCATTGACAAGTGGGTGGGGTGGTGTGAAAAGAGTGGGGTCTTGACAAGCTGCCCTTGTTGCCGAACTGAGGTGCAAATTTCTGGTAAACGTTGACGACAATGGACACTACAATGAAAGAAACCATTCCACAGAACGACCGAAGTAGGCTTTCAGCTCTCATTTATGACTTAGAAACGATGTTTCTAAAAAGTTATTTACTTCAAATTAATTGATTGTATAGTCTGAACATCACTATGATCATATTTTTTAATGTCACGTTTGCTCGAATTTCTGGTTAATCAGCATCACAACCTGATAATAACAAAAGTCGAGACTTTAAGAATAAAGATTTAAAACGTTCAATATACGAATGAAGACAGCAATCCTCAGATCAAATTCTGCTGTCATGGGTAAAGATGCAAGCGGTATCAGTAGCGACTAAATATTTAGTTTTTTCGCTTATAGTCACGTTGGTCAACTTTAAATACCAGCGTGCTGTCAATATTTCCGTCATCGTATCAAGCAATAGCGAATATCAGCGCTATCGATGACTATACCGATCTATTGACTGGCACTTTTGGTTGTACAAATAGATTGTGCTCCTCCAGAAAGAATATCAACCTCTAATTTCTTATGGCGTTATTGCTGATGTTACAGATATAAACTTGTTTACCAAATCCCTTTTTTTGATAAATTCTCCATATAAAAAACGACATTTTTTATCAACGATTCTGATACTACAATTTAGTATTTCGATTTTTACTTCGAAATGACGATCGCTGCAAGAGCTGGAGGGAGTCATGTGCTGTTGCTTCTAACAAAGCTCTTAGTGATCTTCAGCTGTGCATTAAGTGTCGTGGTACTTCTCTGTGTTCATCTGCTCCATCGTGTGCGCGATTACGATGCGACACTGGGGCTTGCGACATCGACTCTGGACTCATTGTCTTTTCGTAGTCTCTCCTCACTCCAAGACCTCCAGCGCTCTCACGAAACATTCGTGCACGTCTTCTCTGTGCAGTTTCCTCTTGCTTTGACATGCTTTACGAGTGTCTACGTGCTTAAACAGGTGCTTTGTTTACAAATGTATACTACTACAGAACAAATGAAACTTAATATTGATGCATTGTCTGCTAGACGTTCGCCATCCCCGGCTCAGCACTGTTGAACCTATTTGCAGGAGCGTTTCTGCCTTTCGCATTGGCATTCCCATTAGTATGTATACTTACAGCATGTGGCGCATCGTGTTGCTATATCTTGTCTAAAAACTTGGCGTCGGAGGAGCTCGTATTGAATCTGTGTGAGCGAATATTGCCAGGCAAGCTGAACATGTTGCGAAAAAAGATTGAGGATGCAAGAGCACAGAACCAATTGCTCTATCTCTTGCTCTTTCTACGCATTTTTCCTTTTACACCTAATTGGTTTTTGAATATGGCAAGTCCGTGGTTGCAAGTACCGCTCAAATTGTTCGCACCATCAGTTGTACTTGGACTCTTACCGTACAATTTAATCACAGTACACGCAGGTGCAATGCTATCGTCTCTCAAGAGTACAAGTGACCTCATGGATTCACGAACGATTGGATTTCTCGTTATCCTGGCTATTGGAATGCTGATTCCTGCGCTTATGAAAAAACAAGTTTCGGCTCAGAACCGCGAAAATCAAGATCACATATCCAAAAGTAACCAGAAAATTGACTAATGACAACATTCAGCCTGGTATTTGACATAAGAAATTTTAATATGTGTACGCCACATATAATCAAATTTGGTATGACACTTTGTTATTGAGTTGATTAATGGCTTGGCTTTGACCATCAGACGTTCGTTCAACGACAAATCACATGGATCCTATATATCTATGTATAAGTAGAGCTCCTGTCACCAGCATTGTCGATTATAAATCAACTATCAAAATCTCCAAACAGTCGTTTGTGTATGCGATTTTTTTAGTAACTACACTTAATGTTCTTGTTTACGTCATCTTACGCTATGTTACGTCCTTTACATAACCTTCTTTTTAATCCATTTCTCAAGTCGAAAAATATAACATGGCTCCAGGTATGAATGTAATTGCTATGACTGTAGCCATGCTAAGCATCCAATTTGCTTCACAAAACAGGAAGTCGCGTGCGTAAAGAGTTGGAAGAATGTCAAAAGGACTCACATCTTTCAGGTGTTACGGCTGTACCAGTAAATACTGCGTCACTCTCTGAACTTCGCGGTTCGATCCAAGGGCCGGATGCGACGCCGTATGAAGGTGGCCATTTTGAGCTTGAAATTATTATTCCTTCCAAGTAATATCTTGTTTTTCTGTATTTTTGATATATAACATTGACAAAATGACGCTTCTTTTGCCGTCAGATACCCATTTGAACCACCACAAATACGTTTCTTAACGAAAATTTGGCACCCAAACATTTCGTCACAGACTGGAGCTATCTGTCTTGATATTTTAAAAGATGCATGGTCTCCAGCATTGACCATAAAGACTGCACTTTTGTCTATTCAAGCGCTTTTATCAGCTGCTGAACCTACGGATCCACAAGATGCTGAAGTAGCAAAGATGTATCTTAATGACCATGCGCAGTTCCTCAATACTGCACGATTCTGGACGGAAAGTTACGCCAAGCCAAAAGACGCAAATAACGTTGCTGCACTCTCTAGACTCATAGATATGGGATTTCCAGCCGTACGACACAAAAAAAGTGGTATTTCTCATAGGTTATTTCTAATCTTTATGTGTTCAATAGGAAAAGGCAAAAGCGGCACTACTAGCGACCAATGGAGACGAAACAGCCGCGATTGAACACCTTGTTAGCAGTATGTAGCTTGTTATCCCTTGAATAAGGTAAGATATTATTTCTTCTTGGGTTTAGTCGAGCGATCAGCTGATTTCGCAGCGACAGTCTCTTGAAGCTTCTTTTTCAGTATTTTGCGCTTGTCGTTTGTCAATTTCTTACTTGGAGTTTCTTTCATTTGATGTTTAAACGTCATTCGCTCAAATGTACGCACAGCGTCACCACATCCGTGAACTTCAGGCATTGCATGATTGTAGCAGAATTTGAGTTTGCAAAATTTGCAGATGCTACCGAGCATTGATACGCTCGTTTGACAACGACTTTGACTTTGATATGCACACTTTGAGCTCTTCGTAGCTTGCCGCGTGAGATAATCCAATTCATCCTCGTCGTCTTTCATTTTGTCGATCGGTGAAGTGTTCGTCTTTCCCTGACGTTTCTTTTTCTTACTTTTCTTTGTGCTTTTCAAAGGTGCTGGATGTCGAGCAAGGCGACTCATGTGCAAATCTTTCAACAGTATATTTGATGGCTCAAAGTCGCTTGGTCTCATTTTCGTTTCATTATTGTCTTGGTCACACTCATCCGAGCTGTCACTACTTGAGTCCATCAGCTGAAACACACTGCTTTTTCTTTCGTCTTCGAACTTCACTTCGACTGTCATTGCTTTTTCAAATGGTGATATTTCTTCCGGCTCCACTTCAACTGTCCTTGCTCCTTCAATTTCCATTTTGACTGTCGATGCTTCTTCAGTGTGGACATCAGCTGTCATCGCTTCCTCACTGTGGGCTTCGACAGTCATTACTTCCTCAGTGTCGGCTTTACTTGTTTCTTCTTCGATGTGAGATTCCGATCTATCGTCAACGATTGTCGAGCTAGGATCATCTGCAATTTTCTGTTCTTTCATCGATTTTGATGTCTTTGTTTTTCGTTTCGTCTTTGCCTCAGATACCCCCACAACTAGTGTCTTCGAAAAGTTCCCTGTCATGGCCATAACATCGTCCACTGATCCTTGTACGGTGTCGTCTTCCAAAAATTCATATGCACTTCGAACTTCACCAAACTGTTCAAAATGGTGAACAATTGTCGCTAAGAATCGGTGCGACGAAATTGTATCTGTATCGCAAATCAAAGCCACGTGGCGTTTTGCTCTTGTGATTGCAACATTCATTCGACGATCATCCGCTAAAAAACCCACTTGTCGAGACGCATTAGATCGCACGAGACTCATCACAACTGCTTCTTTTTCACAGCCTTGAAATCCATCGACGGATCGAATTTCGAGCTTTGGAAAGGAATTTAGTAAGAGACCTTTTAACGTCTGAACTTGCTTATTATACGGCGTAATGACTGCCACTTCGTCTTCTTTTAAGCCAGCAGATAGCAACATTTGAACATGCTTTGCAACAATACGAGCTTCTCCTTCGTTGGACTTAGATAAGTGCACACCTTTTACATCTTCTGCATTCTCCTCATCTTCATCCAGCTCACAGCCTGCCGTATCCACAAGCAACAGTGTCGCATTCAGCACATCATCATCTTTTTTAATCGTGACATGCGGTAATTCGTGCAGTTTGCGCTTTGCAACGGCTGAAAAACTCTTTAATTCGCCTTTGTACATTGCTTGTGAGCTCCAATTGCAAATGTCCTCGTGCATACGATATTGCGTATCTAACATTTTTACCACACACTTCAGTCTTTCGTTTCTCGTGACTCGATCAAACAGCGTCACTTCCAATCCTTTTGCTGCTGCAACTTTTGATTTGATCGTTGGTGGTAATTGCAAGTGATCTCCTGCTAACACACATCGTTTCGCTTTTAAGATAGGAACCCAACACGAAGCTTCAAGTGCTTGAGCTGCTTCATCAATAATCACGACATCAAATGTCACATCTTTTAACAATTTCGATGCAGCGCCAACATTCGTCGCAAACACGACGTTGCTCTGTTTAATGATCTCACTTACAACATTTTGTTCACGTACTCGAATTTCTTTGCGATTTGCTTTCATTTCACGTCGTAACTCATACTTGACCGTCTTTTCCCGTGTCTTTTGCAATTTATTCTGCATAAGTGTCAATTCTTTTCGAATATCTTGAACAATTTCTGTGCCTTCTGCGTTTGCGATCTTCGCATCCAAACAATATTTTAGTGTTTGTGGCAAAACTCGTGCTGGATGTCCCACCCGTACAAGATTGAGCTTCTTTCTCAACTTAGAACATGCACTTGCCAGCTTTTCTAGAACATTATCCACTGCAATATTCGATGGTGCACAAACAAGCACTTTGGACTCGTACTTATCGATTAATTGAAGGATCAATTCGATCACTGTCGTTGTCTTACCTGTTCCAGGTGGACCATGAATCAAAACGAGATCTTTCGATGCTAATGCGAATCGAATCGCTTCATGCTGTGATGTATTCAATTGTGTATGTAATGGTTGAAATTCAGGTATTAGTGTGTTCCAGCTCGGATCTCGATTTGAAAAAACGACATCAATGACCTTGTTAGCTGTACCAAAGTCGAGTTTGGTCATTTGATCCAAAGTATCTGTTAATTTGGCAAATGTTGCTGTATTTACTAATCGATCAAGTGTGAGAGTAGTCGCTGAGAGTGCGAGTTCATCAATTTCATCGTGTTCCGAATTAAAAGCTACAGAGATCGCATGCTCTTCGACACGAGATACAATTCCTGTTGGTATACTCGTGCTTTTTTGCACTCGAAGTTGTACGAGATCACCGACTGTAAAATGATGTGGTTTTGCTTGACGTAAGTGAAGAGATGGCAACGATAGATGTAATATCATACGTCCAAATAGACCAGTCGAATAGCGAGCAAGTGTCAAATGAGTCAAGACATTGGGATTATCTCTATCGTCAAGTGTTGTCAACTCCTTCCGCATTGCATCCACTTCTTCTTGTTGTTCAATAGAAAGAAGACGACGTGTAGATGTTAGCCATGTTTCTAAAGTCACTGGAAGCAGCGCCAGAGCATCGGCTGAGGTCTCTGTTGTCTTGGGCATCACTGAATTGTGTTAGCGTATACAAATTCGAAAAAATCGATGTATACAAAGGTGCCTAAATTTGTCAATTTGTGCAGTCATTTTTTGCTCATTATCAATAAAATAGACAATCATCGAGTCGACAATGTTCAAGGTGTCATTTAGCGTACATTTGTTTTTATTACCCACAACTGGTTAGTCACCATGTTTTAAGCTGAACGAACAACGAAGCTGCAGCGGGGCTACCGTAGCTCTTTACTTAAAGAAGGTGTAACGGGGTTACACGTACGCTGGTATGAAAGGTGGGTCACACAAGATGGTGTGACAGTACAAAGTTCATAAGTCAGTGTAATCACACCATGGTGTGGCTACGCCGTAGCAAGATGCCACAACTGGCGGAACTACGAGTAGGTAGGCATATTAATTAGGTTTTACTATTTGATTAGGAAAACCCAAGGCGGCTCTACCGCAAATAAAACAAAGTATACAGTCTCGATTTTGAACATAAGTATTTATTTGCCTTGGTTAAGGTTTAGTACTCTTGGAGGTAGCGGACTGCGATCCGATACACTCGTACTGGTTCTGGCATAGAACGAAGGTCGGTTTAAGTAAGTTTCCTCTAAGCAAAGAGCTACGGCAGCCCTGCTGCACTTGGTAGCACTCGTAGTCTCTCTACGCCTGAGTCGTTACGACTGGTCCTCTCTGAGGTTGAAGCAAACCTCTATTTGCCCGAGGGTATGCAGGACGGGCTTAATTAGCTGATACCCCTGCTTGGCCCTGAGGAAGTGCAACACCTTGCTTCGCAAGTACATGAAGCGATAAGCATACGTCTAGAGGCGTTTCCGAGCTATGAAAATGCTCTGGAAGAGCACCTGCAGCAAAAGATGTCGGCGTCGACTGCATTCATGACGCCACCGTTGACGACGAATGTCTCCTCCCGACCCAGGACGCTCATGGTGCGCGTTGAAACTAAGGAAGGATCGAATCTCCGGCACTAGGTGAGAGAGGCCGAGATGGCTATGGCATTCGCCATGCTCCAGAACGAGCAACAGCGCGTGGCGCTAGCTATCTCCAAGCTCGGTGGTCGTGTGCGAGTATGGGGGAACTTCAATGGAAGCGGTGTTCCCCTCCTTGAAAGAGCTGAAGCTGCAGCTTTTGCGAGTGTTTTTGCCGCCTACCCAGGCATATCGCGTGCGATCGCGTTTCCTTGCTGCCCGACAGGACAAAAACGAGTTGGTGGAATTTGTCCAAGTGTTGCGTACTCTGATTGCCGGGGTGGCAGCCGATCCTCTCCCCGAGGCGGTCACAGTGACCGTCTTTATGGAGAACCTCAGCACTGGCGTGGCCTCAGTGGGTTACGTGCCACTACATGTTCAGCCCGCGAGCCATCATCGGAGCTATTGTCCAGCACACCTTCGGTGCTCATGAACTCGGATACTCGATATCCAGCACTTTGACCGTCCCGGTCCGGTGCCCACTCCAATAGCGCTTCTGCTTTCTAGCAGAGGTGGGTTCATGACTCCCCAAAGCTTTACCCGAGACGTGCGTATAGCGTCCAAGGTCTTCGAGCTCCAATCAAACCATGGCTCATGGTGTTCCAACGATGCCATACCAAGGATAGGGTCATACCTTGAATCCAAGTCTAAGTCGAAGCAGCGGTTCACGCTATCGGGGTCAAGAAACTTGATACCGAGGTCCACAGGGACCCTCGGCAAAGTGACGGTACCACTCAACCGCGCTCTCAGCGCCTTAGCATATAGCTGACTTCCTTCGATCGTGTAGCGTCGAGCATTATTGACTGAAGCCCCGGAATCGATAAGGATCTTCCATGGCTTCTCAAAGCCCTTTACGGTCACTTTTACGACCAGCAAGCCCAGCTTTCATAAGCGTTCCGTGTTCAAGAAAGAGCACGGAGCTCTCTGGGGCTGGGCCCTGCTGCCCTCTACCTCTCTGATGCTTAACAAAATTAAGTTTTTCCCTAGTAGGGCACCCCGCTCCTACTGGGTCTTGTACTAATTTAAAGTGAGACGTCGGTTCATCGAGTCTTCAAACGCCTTGAGCAGGAGACAACCAGCCCAGAGGTGACGGGTGTCTCTACAGACAAAACACCATCGGGTTTTAAACGGTGCCCAGCAGCTCCGAGCTCTTCTTCCTCTTTCTCAGCATAACTGAGATTCATTGGCTCAGGCCCGATCGACGAGCTCTGAGGTTGTGTAGTACAACCAAGTCGTGTCTACTTAAAGTTGAAATTGAGATTCAATGCCACATTTACCGCTTCTTCAAAAGAAGACGGATGTGAAACACGGAAGACTTCCTTTCTGGTGTTACTATTTAATAATTTAAGCTTCCTGTAGCGGTACCGCAAATAAAAATAGATACAAGCTCATTTTAACAGAAGAGTTAATTTGTTTTGGTTAAGGTTTTGGATACTCTTGGAGATAGCGGATTGCGACTCCAGATCGTAAGGTTGATTTTAGCTTTGCGTCCTTTAAGCAAAGAGCTACGGCAGCAGAGCCGCCTAAATGAAAAGTCGTAGATTTTTTTAATTAAAAAGTAGAACCTAATTGATAATGCATTCTACTGGTAGTCCCGCCTCATAGTGGCTTCATGTAACAGTGTAGCCACACCATTGTGTGATTACACCAACTAGTGTAATCCACACCTTTTTACGGTCACACCATCTTGTGTGATCCAGCCTTGCATACCAGGTTACGTGCAACCACGTTAAACGCTTGGTACGTGTAAGCCCATTACACTCCCCCCATCAAAGATGTAAACCCTTACAATTCACATTTGACTGTAGCCCTATACGCGGCTCGCGTGTCTGAGACAACGTAACGTCCCTTGGGCCATCATTACGCATTCTCTGCTCAAGGAGCCCTGTGTCTATAACACGAAATACACCCATCCTCGCTGGTCCCGAGGGTGCCCGCTGGCAGAACCCTTCTTCGTCTCCCGCACGCGGTGTATCTCCGGATGGGAAGCACATCCCAAACCTCTCAACCGGGCACGGTGTGCCCACCACGGGCGACGGATTTTCTCGTCGAGTATTCCGAGGATTCGGTTACGAGTCAGATACTCCTTATCCAGCATGGGAAGTCGGGGAAGGCGAGATGCGCCAACGGCGCACGTGAGCCCTACTCGAACCTTGCGGAGACCGTGTCCGTTCCCCGACCTCTCGACTTCCGGGGGGGGGTATTTTTACTATTCACCTCGACGAGGCACAGGAGCAGCAAATGGAGGCTGCCCACAGGGTAGCTCTTATGCGCTCGTAACCACGTTCCGTCTTAGACCCTCGTGCTGAATACGGCTTCATCTCGGCAGTTCCCGCTACTGAAGTAAAAGACACCATCACTCGATCGTTAGGCGTCTCCGTATTCGGGCCTCCGACCACTACACAAACTGAGCTTGACAAGCGAAAGGCTCTTCGAGCTCGCTACTTGGCACCTCCAAAATTCTTGATAGATAGGTACCACGCTCGACTTCGCGCTTTAAGAAAAGGCACTCCTGTATCCACAATGCCGACTATTCCTGTGGTGCTCGCCCCTGGCGAAACCGCTGCATATGATGAAGAGCTCGTTGAGCGATGGATGCGGTAGCACCGGAAACCTCTCCACGCTGTCTAACTTACAGCGGAGCCAAAAGGAAGTGGACGTGCGCATAGAACACCATCTTCGATTCGAATTTGCCAAACTCAAGGCGCAACGCCGACTTCCTTCCCTGTGATATATGGAATAATCCATCACGCTCCCGCGAGCTCTATGGCTTCTCATACGAATGAGTCTACGACCACAGCAGCTCAGAGCCATAGTTTGAGCTCAGCTCATGGCCTTCCGGCTTTACGGGCTACTACCGATAAGCGCGGGGCGTACGATGACTCGGAAGTCACGATCCTTCTGGTCATAAGCGTCTACAACGTCTGAGAAGTCTTGCCGAAGTGGCACCTCGAAATCCCCACGAGTTCTCGGAGTTTACATCACAAGATATTCAAACCTGTCGACGACGCCGACAAGGCGTTGCACGCGATAGTGGACGCCACCGCTCTCATCAAGAAGAGTCGGTGGCAGACGATGACGATTTGGACGATCGCCGTCCAGTGACTCGCGATACCGGAGGACATAGTCCGTTGTCATCGGCCTCCGCCAAGCATCTTGCCAATCTAGCATACCGCTGTGCGGAAGACCTCGAGAGCTTGGAGCATTTTAAGCTCCGACTGCCCCACGTTGAGAGCAATCGCGCTCAGTCGGAGCGACCCTAAGCCGTCGAGCAGACGAATACTACACTTCGTGCAATGGTGGAGCGCCTGGCGCCGTTGGAAACGGAGAACACTGTACCCCGTGCTCATAACCAGTTGCCGATTCAGCTTATGTGTGTCCGAGTGCTTTTGGGTACCGCCCCGGCGCCAATGCTTCCGCATTCACTTGCGCCGGACCCCGAAACGGCTTCAGCAAGCTTACATAAAACATCGGGTGGATGCGCATCCTTCTCGGAAGGTTTAAGCGTATACGCAAGGCCTCGCTTGGCTACGATCTTAGGTCCGATAAAACGTGGACGGAGCTTCGTCTTAAAGACAGCGAGACTGCATGTGTATGGAGGTTCTAAGCATTTAATAAACTGACTTTTTTTGGCCTGCCGACGGACTCGGCAGGCTACATGGTATGGTTGTTTTTGTGGGCCGTTTGAGCAAGATGGATCATCTTGCGACAGTGCCGTACACCATCGAAGGTGTGGGTACAGCGGCGCTGTTTGTGGATCGTGTCTTTCGACAAAATAAACTCCCGGAGTTGATTGGCGTTGATAGAGACCCATACTTCACAGAGATTTTTCGTCTACAATCACCAGGATGCTGGAGACCAACTTGACTATATCAACAGCGGACCATCCACAGATCGATGGGCAAACTGAGCGCGTGAATCGCGTCGTTGAAAACGTTTTCCGCAGCTTCGACGCCAGAGCGCTGGAGCGCTGGAGCGCCATGCTGTCACTCGTAGTTTGCTCCAAACAATGCAGCGCATTCATCT